CCTGCCATTGTTGATTGGGTGATGCACGAGTTGTGGTCACATCGGGCTATGGCTGATGGCTGACCTGACAGCCCGGAGGCGAATCCTCCGTGGTATGTCTTAAACTAATGGGCCATGTGCTCATATGGCTCGGGGAGTCATGGTTCAGTTGTGCGGTGGCAGACTGAACCTGGTGTGCCGGGGGCTCACGGGATCTGGGTTAGGGTGTTATTGTCTCTATAAGAGAACATTGCCCCGTGGGGGGAGTACAGGGGGTCTGGCATTGCTGGGGGATGAACCTTCCCTGGGCTATAAAGCATCGGACTATACGAGGCTGGTGTGTGTCCATCTCTGATGGGATAGTAAGGGAGGAGCGTGGCCGAGTTGCTGCTCATCCCCGAAATTGCACTAGCTGAGAGTATGGTCAGTGGATGTTGCTGTGGGTTGACGACCACGGTGGGGGTTAGGGCGAGTTAAACATTACCGCTGGGGAGCGTGGCTCTCTCCACGCGAGGGTGTGCGATTAGGCGTTTTGTTGGGTTGCTGAGAGTGACCGTGGGTACATGCTGTGTACGTGCGATGTCTGTGCTGGTCCTCAAGGGAGGACTGCTGGTGGGTAAGAGCAGAAAATTTTGTTGTTGTTGTTGACGTGTAAATAATATTGTTGTTAAAATGTAAATAATGGGGCATCCATTGCGTTATTTTGGGTATTTATGGGGAGTTTTTTTAAGCGGGCTGGATTTACATCATCTCCACTACCCTGAGGCCGGGTGGCTGTCGTGTACGACATGCGGATGTGCGTTGTTGTGCTGTGCCTCAGGGGATTGGATTCTCCTTCTCGTCACAGATTCTTCAGCTCCCGTCGCACTGGGTGTTACCTGGTGTGCTAGCTGGATGAGGACTTGAAGGAGCAATTGAGCGCCGTTCGTCATTCTGCTCTACCACTTGCTCTTTGACGTTGGACTTGAGCCGAGCGGATGGAACTGCAACATGGACACGCACTAAAACATCACATTCTGGGTTGTGCGCGTTGGCCGTTCTTGCGTGTCAGTTGCCGTTGTTGTTCATTGTGCCATTCTTATTCTTGTTGTTGTTGCGCGGAGGACAGGCCGGTGTTCTGTTCCGGTTCCTGATACCTCCCCTTTCGTTGCTTGTGTTGTTGTTGTTATAATCTCCGTTGTGTCTGGGGGACTCCTGATTGTGATGCCTTCGCCCGCATTATTTTGTTCTGGTTCAGCCGAGGACGGCTGGGATTTTCTCTACGGGGGAGGGTAGTGTAATGCGGGCGTAAATGGGCGGGGCGGATATGACGATCCGAGAGGGAGGAGTCAGGGTGACGTGGGGGAGAAGTTATAGCGGGGAGACAGGAAGCTATCTGGAGCAGTCGGGGGAGTGAAGGGTGGTGAACACGTTGGGTGGTCGCCGTGCCTCAGCCTGGTGGCTGAGGGGCTCACGACGGCGCCAGCCAGCGGGGTGGAAGAGAGAGTGGAGGATTGAGGTTGGAGATGGCGAGATAGCCATAGAGGCCACGAAGGCCACGCACGGAGGAACAGGGAGCAGCGATGGAGCTGCTGTGGGGGCAGCCGGAGGGCTGCACCAAGAGCCTGCAGCGGAGCTGCAGGAGCGTGGAAGGCTACGGGAGCGAAGGCAGATGTGGGGCTGCCAGGGAGAGAGTCTCAGGAGGAGTGCCGTGTGGGAAGGAGAACGCGAACCCCAAATAAAGGACACGAAGACAGAAAGAAGTGTCTAAGTCCTTTTATTACAGTAGTGTAGTATATAGTAGTGTAGTGTATAGTAGTGTAGTGTATAGTAGTGTAGTGTATAGCAGTGCAGTGATTAGTGTAGTGTATAGTAGTGTAGTGTATAGTAGTGTAGTGTATAGTAGTGTAGTGTATAGAAGTGCAGTGTATAGTAGTGCAGTGTATAGTAGTGTATAGTGTAGTGTATAGTGTAGTATATAGCAGTGTAGTATGTATGTTGAACTTCGTTGGCACCGTACGTAGCCCACCGTGACATTTCCCGACTACTATCATTTTGCGATGTTCAGGGTCACTTTTGAAAAAGTATAAATATAGCTCAGTGGAACCTTAGAGGTGGTGAAATAAACATTTTTATGATAATTGTTTTTTTTACCCTTCTATCTGGCAACAAAACTGACTTTTTTTTTACAAGGAGTCATGTTTGCATAGACCACAATACCTGCGATCATAATGCAAACAAAAAACATAACTCTGATAATGTGCGCCTTTTGGCGTCATCTGGTCCAACCCATGTGAGACTAGGCTCTAAGGAAAGCTGTCTCGGGTGTGGACCAATCAACTTCAAGAACAGTGCACATTATCAGAGTTATGTTTTTTGTTTGCTATATGACCGCAGGTATTGTGGTCTATGTAAACATGACTCCTTGTAAAAAAAAAAGTGTCAGTTTCGTTGCCAGATAGAAGGGTAAAAAACCAATTATCATATTTTTTAACTGGCAAATGAGGTTCCAACGGTATATATTTTTTAGTTTGAAGCAGTTTTAGTTGACGTCTTCCTCGCCATGGGATCGTGTGCGTGCGGTGTGTAAGGTAAAGGGGTAGGAGGATGGATTAGGAGGGAGTCAGGGAGGTAGAGGGGGAGGGAGGAGGGGGAGGAGGGGATGGGTGGGATGGAGGGGGGATGGAGGGAGGGGGGAGCAATGAAGGGGGGAGGGAGGGAGGAGGAGGGATGGGAGGGAGGGGGGAGGGATGGAGGGGGGATGGAGGGAGGGGGGAGCAATGAAGGGGGGAGGGGGGAGGGGGAGGGATGGGAGGGAGGGGGGAGGGATGGAGGGGAGGGATGGAGGGAGGGGGGAGCAATGAAGGGGGGAGGGAGGGAGGAGGAGGGATGGGAGGGAGGGGGGAGCAATGAAGGGGGAGGAAGGGGAGGGAGGAGGGGGAGGAGGGAGGGAGAGGGAGGAGGGGGGATGGAGGGAGGGGGGAGCAATGGAGGGGGGAGGAGGGAGGGAGGAGGGATGGGAGGGAGGGGGGAGGGATGGAGGAAGAGGGGGGAGCAATGGAGGGGGGAGGAGGGAGGGAGGAGGGGGATGGGTGGGATGGAGGGGGGAGGGAGTAGGGAGGGAGGGAGAGGAAGGAGGGGAGGGAGGAGGGGATGGGTGGGATGGAGGGGGGATGGAGGGAGGGGGGAGCAATGAAGGGGGGAGGAGGGAGGGAGGAGGGGGATGGGTGGGATGGAGGGGGAGGGAGTAGGGAGGGAGGAGGGGGGATGGAGGGAGGGGGGATGGAGGGAGGGGGGGAGCAATGAAGGGGGGAGGGGGGAGGGGGAGGGAGCTGTGTAGGAGAGAGGCAGCAGCGTGACTAGACGAGGGTTGTCTGGGATTGTTCTTGGCCAGCTCTCTCCCTCCCTCTCTCCCTCCCCACTTGCAGGCCGAGCCGACAGAGGGTGTGTGTGTAGTCTGTGTGTAGTCTATGTGTGTGTCGTGTGTAGTGTGTGTGTGGTGTGTGTAGTGTGTGTGTGTAGTCTGTGTGTGTAGTGTGTGTGTGTAGTCTGTGTGTAGTGTGTGTGTAGTGTGTGTCGTGTGTGTAGTGTGTGTGTGTCGTGTGTGTGTAGTGTGTGTGTGTAGTGTGTGTGTGTAGTGTGTGTGTGTAGTGTGTGTGTAGTGTGTAGTGTGTGTGTGTAGTGTGTGTGTGTAGTGTGTGTGTGTAGTCTGTGTGTGTAGAGTGTGTGTGTAGTGTGCGTAGTGTGTGTGTGTAGTGTGTGTGTGTAGTGTGTGTGTGTAGTCTGTGTGTGGTGTGTGTGTGTGGTGTGTGTGTGTAGTGTGTGTGTGTAGTGTGTGTGTGTGTGGAGTGTGTATTGTGTGTGTGTAGTTTGTGTGTAGTTTGTGTGTGTAGTCTGTGTGTGTGTCGTGTGTGTGCCGTGTGTGTGTGTAGTGTGTGTATTGTGTGTGTGTGGAGTGTGTGTAGTATGTGTGTCGTGTGTGTGTGTCGTGCGTAGTGTGTGTAGTGTGTGTAGGGTAGCTTTGTGTGTGTGGTGTGTGTAGTACATAGACACTGCTACTCGCTCGCTAACAGCACTTGCTCCTACAGCCCTGCTAGAGGCTACCTGGGGTAGCTTTGTCTGTGTGTGTGTGGTGTGTGTAGTACATATACACTGCTGCTGCTATTCGCTAGCTAACAGCACTTGCCCCTACAACCCACTTAACTTCCTGTATACCCGGCGAGATAGTTAACATTACCCCAGCCACCGTGGCACCCTTCCCACACACTCATCCAGCAGTGGATTGACATGCAAGGCACCGTGTTGGGCCCAGAGAAAGGCTAGAGGAGTCTTGCATTCAATCGATTAAATGTGTTTTAATGTTTACAAGGCACGCAAGCCCCTGTATAGCAGGCGAGGGAGTTAACATCTCCACGGGGAGAGAGAGAGACAGGGATGAGATGTGCAGACTCCACAGATACAGCAGCAGGTGTCAGCGTCTGGGTTGGCACCCACGACCCCCTGCACACCAGGCGAGGTAGTCAACATCTCCAAGGAGGAGAGAGAGACATGCAAACTCGATGTACAGGTAGTCCCCGAGTTACGATGGTTCGACTTGCGATATTTCGATCTTACGATGGCGATAGCGATACGACAAAAATGTCATCAACAACCCTAACATCACTATGAGATCTCTTTTACCAGTGGCAAAATATAATAGTAGGTTTTTACCCTTTTAACTGGTACAAAACTGACACCTTTATTCAAGGCATCATGTTTGCAATGACCACAACACAAGTAGTCAAAAAAGCAAACAAAAAGAAGCAACTCTGATAAGGATAATAAAGGTGTCAGTTTTGTACCAGTTAAAAGGGTAAAAACCTACTATTATATTTTGCCACTGGTAAAAGAGATCTCAGTGTAAATGCTTACCCCGAGCTCTCAATACTCTGATATTGCACTGTGTTTGAGTTGTACGCCTTCTGGTGTCATCTGGCCCAACACCAATGGGGACTAGGCTCTAAAGAAAGCCGTCTCGGGTGTGGGCCAATCAACTTCAAGGACAGTGCATATTATTATCCTTATCAGAGTTGCTTCTTTTTGTTTGCTTTTTTGACTACTTGTGTTGTGGTCATTGCAAACATGATGCCTTGAATAAAGGTGTCAGTTTTGTACCAGTTAAAAGGGTAAAAACCTACTATTAAACCCTAACATCGTTCAAGTATGCAGACGACGGACAGAAACTTGGTAACTACAGCACAATATGATACGTTACGATGCGTTCAAGGCATGTATGATACGTAGCTTTAGCGATTTCATTTTAGAGTTATCACGATACGAAACGTTCAATGCATGTTAAAACTTTTTTTTTATATATATAGCAGATAGGATTGTTCCCTGCAAAACCTTTCTATTAAATTGCAGTTCATATAGGTAGGCTAAGAATTTACCTTGTCTTTTTTTGCTTTACATTTTACCGTGCAATACAGTATTGTAATTAATAAATACATACAGTATATAGTTTATACAGCACGCTACTGTAAATTGCTCTGTTTTGCTAAATTATCACCGTTCTTTAAGACTCCTGGGTAGGCTAGGCCATCTTCGACTTACGATATTTTCGACTTATGATGGGGTCGTCGTAACGCATCTCCATTGTAAGTCGGGGACTACCTGTGTAATGTAAGGTTGTATCCGGGTCGTTGACGGATTACAACTCGTCACGATGATTGGCTCTGCCGGTCCTGGTCCATAGCCAATGGGGGGAAGCCTAGGGGCGTGGCCCTGACGTCATGGAAAGGTGACAGCTGCAAGTAGATGATTGGTTCTGCTGGCTTTGGCCACAGCCAATGGGGAGCCGAGTCAGGGGCGTGGTCCTGACGTCATGGGAAGGTGACAGCTGCAAGTAGATGATTGGTTCTGCTGGCTTTGGCCACAGCCAATGGGGAGACGAGTCAGGGGCGTGGCCCTGACGTCACGGGAAGGTGACAGCTGCAAGTAGATGATTGGTTCTGCTGGCTTTGGCCACAGCCAATGGGGAGACGAGTCAGGGGCGTGGTCCCGGGAGCCTACGAGGGAGCCTGGAATATTCCATAGAGGCTAACCAGGATTGGTGGAAACGTACCACGTGACCCGGGTATTAAATAGGGGTGGAGACGAACGACACGTGGTCAGAACGGGAACGAACGGAGGAGGGGTTCACGCGGGAGCGGGGCTCCGGGTTGCCACGTGGCGGCACGTCTCTATCCCTCTCACGCTGCCTGTCAGCGTGAAGGAGAGCTGTAATGAAAAGTGAATAAAAGACCGGATTCCAGAAGTCGCCTCAACGACCTGTATTACACCTGTATATCGAGCAGGCGTCGTGAGGGTCACGGGATCGAACCCACGACCTCCTGCGCACCAGGCGAGCTGGTCAACATCTCCATGAGAGATTCGTTCATGAGGCCATCCACATATACAAACACAGAGACAATTTGAACCGAGAAGATGGATTCTTGGCTTAGCAATCATTGGAAGGATGTGATCAAACATTTCGGGGTCTTGATTGATTGTGTTTACGCTCACGGTGACTTTCAGACCGCGTTCCATTCTCATCTCTCCCCTCCTCTTTTCCGAACATAGATGGACTCGTCCATCTGAACAACCGCCAGTCGCTGTCTGTGGTGCTGACGTTAAGAAAAAAACGCCACTTTTTAAACAAAAAAATCCTTGCCGTGGTTTTCACACCTGATGATGAGTGCTTGTGTTGCAATCGAAACGTTCTGAGAATGTAATTGTTTGATTATTTTATTATTTTATTATTTCCCTTCTACGTGACTTTACCGAAAGAACCAAGAATACAATCATAATATATCTCCAAGAGGGGGGAGAGAGAGATGCAAACTGCAAACATAGAGCAGGGGTCGGGAGGGTCACGGAAATCGAACCCACGACCTCCTGCACACCAGGCGAGGTGGTCAACATCGGCCGGCCACCGCCACCAGCAAAGCCAAGGCGAGGCTGGGGCCCGCCGTGGTCGGTGTCCGACGTCCGAAGCCAGGCCCAGCCCCAGACGCGTTGCACAGGTCGGTGGTGCAGCAGGTGACCTTGGTGCCGATCCCGGCCACGTGCACGTCTGTGGGGATGCAGAGGCTGGCCAGGGAGCAGCTCTTGGTGTACGTGGTGACTTGGTGGGGGGGTGGGGGAGAAGGGAGGAGAGGTTGGGTGGGTGAAGGTGGGGAGAGGTGGGTGGAGATGGTGGGGGGAGGTGGGGGGAGGTGGTGGGAGCAAGAACAAGAACGAGGTAACGTGAAACTATCAACTAAATAATTCTAGATTTGAAGCTTTCGTGACTGCAATGATTCATATTCTTGTGTTTTTTCGGTAAAGTCACGTAGGTAAAATCATTTACTTGATATAGCAAGCGTGCTGTGACGGTTCCACCTGAAGACGGAAGCTTGTGTTGCCTCCGAAACGTCGTGATTTTTATTTTATTTTTATTTAACTTTTATTAATTTATATTTTTTACCTATGTGACTTTATCGAAAAAACCCAAGAACATCAACTAATTAATTTTATTTTATTAAGTAAGGCCGCAACTCAGCTGTGTAGAATTTCGTGTACGTGCTGACTTGGTGGTGGTGGGGAGGGAGAAGGGAGGAGAGGTTGGGTGGGGGGAGGTGGGTGGAGATGGTGGGGGGTGGTGGGGGGAGATGGTGGGGGGGGGGGGAGAGAGAAGCAGACTCCAAATATACAGCAGGAGTCGTCATGGTCCGGATCGAACCTACGACTCATGGGACCTCCTTTGCCAGTACGAAAATATGAGAAAAAACACGCTCTGATAGTAAATGATCCATTGTCTTTGAAACTGATTGGTCCACACCAGAGACAGCTTTCTTTTGAGCCTCGTCTCAAATTCGGTGTTAGACCAGAGGACGCCAAAAAGCCTTGCATTCCGACCACAAGTATTGTGGTTAATGCAGTGACATGATTCCTCGTAAAAGGTTTCAGTTTGGTGTTTTAACATCTCAAAACGGCTGTTTTTGTTGCCATAATAAAAAAATTAACCCGTAAAAACAAAGTTTTTCACTATAAATCCTTTATAAGCGTGGCGGCTAGAGTCCTCCCGTCCTCTGGCTTGAGATGGCTGCCACCTATGGGTCAGATGATTGCCTGCCACCATTAAGCAATTGATAATTAAATATAATTTATTTTTTCCTAAAAAGTGTAAAATTTTGGAGAAAAAAAATTCACGAAAATAAATTGTCACGCAGAACGAGTCTGTGTGCAAAAATGTCAGCTCGATTGGATCACGGGAAGTGGGTTAAAAAACGACCGAAAGATTTGCACGGTCGTAAGCGCGCAAGCAAGCAAGCAAGTGAACTTAATATAAAGGATTTAAAAAGGGGAAAATCCTATTCTCCTACGATTCGCCCGTACACCAGGCGAGGCAGTCGACATCTCCCGAGTCAACGTGACGCCTCAAGCCATGCCACCTCGCTGAGCGATCATTTGTGATGAAAAAAAAAACATTTTAAAGTAGCAAAATTATGACAATAAAAACTAAGATCGGGTCTCCCGTGTCTCCTGGAGAGCGTGGCGAGGTTAAGGATTTTTTTCAGAGTTCAGCCCCTGGACAGCGCACTCTGTGTGCTGCTTGCCTCTTAACGGATTTTTCAATCTATGCCAGTTTATAGGTCTCTGTGTGGTGAGTCTATAGGTCTCTGTGTGGTGAGTCTATGGGTCTCTGTGTGGTGAGTCTATAGGTCTCTGTGTGGTGAGTATAGGTCTCTGTGTGGTGAGTCTATAGGTCTCTGTGTGGTGAGTCTATAGGTCTCTGTGTGGTGAGTCTATGGGTCTCTGTGTGGTGAGTCTATGGGTCTCTGCGTGATGATTCTATTGGTGTCTGTGTGATGAGTCTATAGGTCTCTGTGTGGTGAGTCTATGGGCCTCTGTGTGGTGAGTCTATGGGTCTCTGCGTGATGATTTTATTGGTGTCTGTGTGATGAGTCTATGGGTCTCTGTGTGGTGAGTCTATGGGTCTCTGTGTGGTGAGTCTATGGGTCTCTGAGTGGTGAGTCTATGGGTTTCTGTGTAGACAGTCTATGGGTCTCTGTGTGGTGAGTCTATGGGTCTCTGTGTGGTGAGTCTATGGGTCTCTGCGTGATGATTCTATTGGTCTCTGTGTGGTGAGTCTATGGGTTTCTGTGTAGTGAGTCTATGGGTCTCTGTGTGGTGAGTCTATGGGTCTCTGTGTGGTGAGTCTATGGGTCTCTGTGTGGTGAGTCTATGGGTCTCTGCGTGATGATTCTATTGGTCTCTGTGTGGTGAGTCTATGGGTTTCTGTGTAGTGAGTCTATGGGTCTCTGTGTGGTGAGTCTATGGGTCTCTGTGTTTTCAGTCTATGGGTCTCTGTGTGGTGAGTCTATGGGTCTCTGTGTTTTCAGTCTATGGGTCTCTGCGTGATGAGTCTATGGGTCTCTTTGTGATGAGTCTATGGGTCTCTGTGTGATTAGTCTATGGGTTTCTGCATGATTAATCTATGGGTCTCTGTGTGCGGGTCCCCCCCTCCCCTTACCTGACAGAGCCGTCACTGCCGTGGTCATGCACGCGTCCTGACCTTCACCGCACGGCCCGGTGCTGTTCCGTTCGCAGTCAATCAGACTGCCCACGGACACGCACTGGTAGCACCGCAGGGAGCGAACTGTGGGGGCGAGATCGCGGGGGGTGGGGGGGCGGTTATGGCTGGTGGTGGTGCATTTACCGGTCATCTCAGTAAGGTCAAGCCATGGCACCTGCTGGGTCTGTCCCGTGACCTCCTGAACATAGCCTGGCACAGTAGGGGGGTTATAGCTGGTGGTGCATCTACCGGTCATCTCAGTAAGGTCAACCCATGGGACCTGCTGGGTCTGTCCCTTGAACTCATGCACCTAGCCTGGCACAGCAGTACAACCCATGGCACCTGCTGGGTCTGTCCCGTGACCTCCTGCACATAGCCTGGCACAGTAGGGGGGGTTACAGCTGGTGGTGCATCTACCAGTGGTCATCTCAGTAAGGTCAAGCCATGGCACCTGCTGGGTCTGTCCCGTGACCTCCTGCACATAGCCTGGCACAGTATGGGGGGTTACAGCTGGTGGTGCATCTACCAGTGGTCATCTCAGTAAGGTCAAGCCATGGCACCTGCTGGGTCTGTCCCGAGAGCTCCTGCACCTAGCCTGGCACAGCAGTACAAACCATGGCACCTGTTGGGTCTGTCCCGTGACCTTCTGCACCTAGCCTGGCACAGCAGTCGACCCATGACACCTGCTGGGTCTGTCCCGTGACCTCCTGCACCTAGCCTGGCACAGTAGGGGGGGTTACAGCTGATGGTGCATCTACCAGTGGTTATCTCAGTCTGCCAACCCATGGCACCTGCTGGGTCTGTCCCGTGACCTCCTGCACCTAGCCTGGCACAGCAGTCGACCCATGACACCTGCTGGGTCTGTCCCGAGACCTCCTGCACCTAGCCTGGCACAGTAGGGGGGGTTACAGCTGGTGGTGCATCTACCAGTGGTCATCTCAGTCTGCCAACCCATGGCACCTGCTGGGTCTGTCCCGTGGCCTCCTGCTGCACCTAGCCTGGCACAGCAGTACAACGCATGGCACCTGCTGGTTCTGTCCCGAGACCTCCCTGCCAGCAGCGAGCCCTCGACACTTCACGTGGCTCCCTCAAAGTGCACCTAGCCTGGCACGGGCGCCGTACGTGACGTCAGCGTCACTTAGTGGCGATATGGCGGCTATTTTTGTATTGGTATGAGAATTGGTTTTTCCCTCTCTCTGGCAATAAGACACGCGCTGTGGATGTTAAAACACCAAACAGAAACCTTTTGTACGGAATCGCATCTGCATTAACCTACACGTAGTAGTAGCGCATGTTTTTTTTCATTCAGACGCTGTTTCCCCGACAGACCTGGTTTTCACCTGAGGACGGCTGCTTGCATTGTGCCGAAACGTCGTGAGAATTATTTTATTAAAGTTTTATTTTTATTATTTTATTACTTCCCTTCTACGTGACTTTACCGAAAGAACCAAGAAAAAGAGGTAAACTCTTTGGTTATTTCGGTAAAGTTACCCAGGTAGAATAAGTATTATTTTTTAAATACTTTTTTAAAAACACGCTTTCATGAAATGTACCGTACGAGTAATGGCAGAACTCCACGACTCCAGAAAGTGGCCCCGAAGCTTGCCATAACGTAAGGGGCCATGGCCAATTACAGCCAACGTCAGTTAAGCGTGGACAATTAGACCCAAGCCGAAACATAACATATAAAAAATAATGTAAAAAAATATATTTTTCATTTTTAATGATAGAATATGGTATTGTCATCAGTATGACATAAGTATACCAAGTTTGCAGTCGATGCCACATTGTTACGTAACATGGCACATACGTAACGTGTCACATGCGTAAACACGTCACATACGTACCACGTGACGTACGTACCACGTGACGTACGTGACACGTGACGTACATGACACGTGGCGTACGATGAATACCGGTGTAGATTTTACGTTTGCTTTTTTTTCTATTTCATTTTTTAAAATGTCACTTATTTTGCCTCGTGCACTCGCTTGAGTTTCCGTTACCTGCGGGCACCGAGATGGCGATGAGCAGCAGCGGCACCACCGACAGAATTCTCGACACAGCCATGGAAGCTGTTTCTTGCCACCTCTTCTGCTCCCCCACCCACCCCCCTGGTCCTTTGGTCTCCTCTTCCTCCTTGCTTCCTCCTCTGCCTCCTCCTCTCCTCCTTCCTCCTTCCTCCTCCTTGCTCCTCTTCCTCCTCCTCCTCTCTCTCTCTCTGCTTCTCTGTTCTCGGTCGTCGATCTGTCTCGTCGCGAGCGCGGTGCGAGCGTTGACGGCGAGACGAGGCGAGGCGCTAGGGTTTATAAACGTGGGGGGGGGGCGGTGTCGGGGGGGGTGGTGGTGGTGGGGGTGGTGGTGGTGGTGGCGGTGGTGGTGTGGTGTGGGTGTGGTGTGGGTGGTGGTGGGGGAGATGGTGGAGGTGGTGGAGGTGGTAGTGGGGGTGGTGGTGGGGGTGGAGGTGGTGGAGGTGGTAGTGGGGTTGGTGGGAGTGGGTGTGGAGGTGGTGGGGGTGGTGGTGGCTGTAATGGTGGGTGGTGGTGGTGGTGGGGGTGGTGGTTGGGGGTGGAGGTGGGGGTGGTGATGGTGGCGGTTGTGGTGGAGGTGGTGGAGGAGGTGGTGGAGGTGGACTATAGAAGAGACTGAGTGATGTGGTACAGGAGGATGTGGAGCTGAGTGGACTTGCCGATGACCGGTACCAGCGGTGTCAAGATCGGCCTCTGTGCAGGAGGAGGCTCGCGAAGGACGCTGCTACTGGGCTAGTGCCAGGCTAGGTGCACATTGAGGACGCTGCTGCTGGGCAGCTGGAGGCAGTCGCCCCTCCAGCGACAACAACGCAGCGTCAGAGGAGCGATGCTCACAACAACGAGTGGAGCGCCGGGCGGCTTAAGTGCAGCAAGTTGGCACAGTTGGGGATTACAGCTGGTGGTACATCTACCGGTCATCTCAGTCAGCCAACCCATGGCACCTGCAGGGTCTGTCCCAAAACCTCCTGCAACCTAGCCTGGCACAGTAGGGGGGGTTACAGCTGATGGTGCATTTACCGGTCATCTCAGTCAGCCAACCCATGGCACCTGCAGGATCTGTCCTAAAACCTCCTGCACCTAGCCTGGCACAGTAGGGGGTACAGCTGGTGGTGCATCTACCGGTCATCTCAGTCGGCCAACCCATGGCACCTGCAGGGTCTTTCCCGAGACCTCCTGCACCTAGCCTGGCACAGCAGTCAACCCATGGCACCTGCAGGGTCTGTCCTGAGACTTCCTGCACCTAGCCTGGCACAGGCGACGCGGTGACGTCACCGTCACTTCGTGGCGAATGGCGGTTGTGTTGGATATTGGTTGGTGTGTACAGGTGTGTGTGCGTGTACGAAAGCGATGGTAATTACGGGGCAGGTAAACAATCGTCAGCATACCGACAAATATTGTCTTTTGTCTTTTGTGCCCTTTGTGCAAGAAGTCACGAAGATGGCCTGGCATGGATCGTGTTGGTTAATGGGTTGTGTCAGGTGTCGAGGCTTCGGGTGTCAGACTTGGAATTTGTGTTCAACCAGTTGGTCAACTCGAAAAGGGAGCAGTGGTGAGTGAGTGCGTGGTTAGGTGAGTGAGTGAGTGAATGGGTGAGTGAGTGAGTGAGTGCGTGGTTGGGTGAGTGAGTGAGTGAGTGAATGGGTGAGTGAGTGCGTGGTTGGGTGAGTGAGTGAATGAGTGCGTGGTTGGGTGAGTGAGTGAATGGGTGAGTGCGTGTTTGGGTGAGTGAGTGAATGGGTGAGTGAGTGAGTGAGTGAATGGGTGAGTGAGTGCGTGGTTGGGTAAGTAAGTGAATGGGTGAGTGAGTGCGTGGTTGGGTGAGTGAGTGAGTGCGTGGTTGGGTGAGTGACTGAATGGGTGAGTGCGTGTTTGGGTGAGTGAGTGAATGGGTGAGTGAATGCGTGGTTGGGTGAGTGAGTGAATGGGTGAGTGAGTGAGTGAATGGGTGAGTGAGTGCGTGGTTGGGTGAGTAAGTGAATGGGTGAGTGAGTGCGTGGTTGGGTGAGTGAGTGAGTGCGTGGTTGGGTGATTGACTGAATGGGTGAGTGAGTAAATGGGTGAGTGAGTGCGTGGTTGGGTGAGTGAGTGAATGGGTGAGTGAGTGAATGGGTGAGTGAGTGAGTGCGTGTTTGGGTGAGTGAGTGAATGGGTGAGTGAATGCGTGGTTGGGTGAGTGAGTGAATGGGTGAGTGAGTGAGTGAATGGGTGAGTGAGTGCGTGGTTGGGTGAGTGAGTGAGTGAATGGGTGAGTGCGTCCGTGGTTGGGTGAGTGAGTGAATGGGTGAGTGAGTGAGTGAATGGGTGAGTGAGTGCGTGGTTGGGTGAGTGAGTGAGTGATTGAATGGGTGAGTGAGTGCGTGGTTGTGTGAGTGAGTGAATGGGTGAGTGAGTGCGTGGTTGGGTAAGTGAGTGAATGGGTGAGTGAAAGCATGGTTGGGTGAGTGAGTGAGTGATTGAATGGGTGAGTGAGTGCGTGGTTGTGTGAGTGAGTGAATGGGTGAGTGAGTGCGTGGTTGGGTAAGTGAGTGAATGGGTGAGTGAGTGCATGGTTGGGTGAGTGAGGGAGTGAATGGGTGAGTGAGTGCGTGGTTGGATGAGTGATTGATTGAGTGAGTGGGTGAGTGAGTGTGTGGTTGGGTGTGTGAGTGAGTGAGTAAATGGGTGAGTGAGCGAATGGGTGAGTGAGTGCGTGGTTGGGTGAGTGAGTGCGTGGTTGGGTGAGTGAGTGAGTGAATGGGTGAGTGTGTGCGTGGTTGGGTAAGTGAGTGAATGGGTGAGTGCGTGCGTGGTTGGGTAAGTGAGTGAATGGGTGAGTGAATGCATGGTTGGGTAATTGAGTGAATCGGTGAGTGAGTGCGTGGTTGGGTGAGTGATTGCGTGGTTGGGTGAGTGAGTGAGTGAATGGATGAGTGAGTGCGTGGTTGGGTGAGTGAGGGAGTGAATGGGTGAGTGAGTGCATGGTTGGGTGAGTGCGTGGTTGGGTGCGTGAGTGAGTGAATGGGTGAGTGAGTGCGTGGTTGGGTGAGTGAGTGAATGGGTGAGTGAGTGAGTGAGTGCGTGGTTGGGTGAGTGAGTGAATGAGTGGGTGAGTGCATGTGTTAGTGACTGACTCAGAGACACTAAGAGTGCGAGGCACTCTGTTTATTAACACGGCCTTAACAGCTTAACACTTGGTAACTAGGGTCCACAGTCAGGGCAGCCGGTAGACTGCCTGCCTCGCGACGCCGAGACGGTGAAGACTCCAGCAGCACAACGGGGATCCCACTCCAAGCGACAGCCCCGAGGTCCCCTTCCGTGGGCTCTTCTTATACTATCAGCGTAGGCCTGGCTCCGCCCCCAGACCATGCCCCCTTTCCGTGACCTCTCCCCTAGATCCCTCTCTGGCCTATCACGTGGCCTGCCGTCAGTCAGGGCTGCTGTGAGCTGCAGATCCCCTTCCCTGCCAGCAGCCGGTGCTATGCTGCTACGTGACCGATTCTATGTCACTACACGCGTGTAGTAGTAGTGTTGTAAATAAAGGCGGGCGACTTCTTGTCTTCTTCCCGGGCCACTTCATTACATACTCTTAGTTCTTTCGGTAAAGTCACGTAGGTAAAAATTTTTATTAAAATTAATACGTGACTTTACCGAAATAACTAAGACTACGAATCCTTGCAGTCACGAAAGCTTCAAATCACTTCATTACAGTCTGTTTATATAACCACTCGGTTTAGTTATGCCGAGGATCCGCCGTCCGTCGCTCGTTCGCTCCCTCACTCGCCGCGTCCCTATCCTATCCTCTACCCTCCTTTCTTCACCCCTCTCAACCGCGGCGTTAAGCGTGCCGACGTACGGACTGCGCTCACGCCTTTAGCGTCTTACTCCTGATCTGTACGGGGCCCGTGTCTTGCTGTCTCAGCGGGTCGATACCACGGTAGCCCCCGGGGGGGTCAAGCGTGCCGACGTACGGACTGCGCTTGTCCCTAGCGACCCTATCCTAGTCTACCCAGGTCCAGACAGGACTACTCTCGCCCAGGAATACTCTAACTAGCTTGGCGGGTCCGGCTTCAGCTTCTCTCGTCTTCTGTCTTCATCATACTGACCCTCGGGCTCGTTTTGCCCGTCTTATATATCCCTCGCGACCCCTTCCAGAACATTCTCCAGAAGATCTCTCTATGATTTGCAGATACCGATCTTTTGAATTGCGGTCCACCTCCCCCCTTAATGCACGGGCATAATATGACTTTGAAGCTCCATACTACTAACATTCCTTCCCTTTATTAATGCTAACCCTACTCCCTCCCTTTGATGCTGCTAATCCTGCATAATGCACGGGCATAATATGACTTTGAAAACCCCCCGCCCACCTCCTACGCATTCCACAAGTAGTGACTAATCCCATATCTGCATTTCCCCTAAATATACTAAATTCCTCTTGATATGCAAATTCCTTTGGCAAGGCGCTCTTCCCCCTCCAACCCAGCAGCTTAAATATACGCTGCCAAGCTTGGTGGTGTTCATTCAGACGCTGTCTGCCCGACAGACTTGTTATTCACCTGAGGACGGCTGCTTGCGTTGTGGCCGAAACGTCGTGAGAATTATTTTATTATGTTTGCATTTTTATTATTTTATTATTTCCCTCCTACGTGACTTTACCGAATGAACCAATAAGATGAATCCCTGTAAGTCACGAAAGCTTTAAATCGAACCCTCCCCCATTGTTTACCCCAACGGAATTACCCCAACGGTCATCCTGACCCTGCCTGCTGTCGATGTTCCCATGATGATGCTCACCAACCGCCTCTTCTGGCTGCCGAGCGCGGACATGCAGCAGTTCTCGAATATGCGCGCGTTGAACCACTACGCATGTGTAATGAGAGCCTATGTCCGGCTCACGTGGTGATCGGCTCTGCCGGTCCTGCTCTACAGCCAATGGGGGGAGAGCCTGCGAGCATGGCCCTGGCGTGATCGAGGGATGTCAGCGAGGGTGATTGGTTCTGCTGGTCTTGGCTTCAGCCAATGGGAAGACAAGTCAGGGGCGTGGTCCCGGGAGTTGATGGAGAATCTGGAACATTCAGCGCAGGCTATTAAGGATTGGCTGGAGCGTACCACGTGACCCAGGCATTAAATAAGGGAAGAGCTGAGGGACTCGTGGTCAGACGAGGAACTAAGAGAGAGAGGGGCCACGCGCGAGCGGGGCTCCGAGTGCCACATGGCGGTGCGTCTCTTGCGATCTGTCTGCCCACTTCCCCGTTGCCTGCCAGCAACGGGAAGTGCTTGTGAACTGAGATAAATAAAAGGACCGATTCCACAAGCCGTCTCCCAAGAGTATTATTACACATGGATGAGTGAGCGAATGAGTTGGTGGTTGGGTGAGTGAGTGTACGGGCGAGTGAGTGAATCGGTGGGTGGGTGAGTGAGTGAATGAGTGAGTGTGTGAATTGGTGAGTGAATGGGTGGGTTAGTGAATGAGTGGGTGAGTGAGTGGGTGGATGGGTGAATGAGTGTGTTGGTGAGTTAGTGTGTTGGTCGGTGAGGAGCGGTAGTGTAGCGGTTAGCGCTATGCTGCGCTACGAACCTGGCGACCCGGGTTCGATTCCCGTTCACGGTAAACATCGGTTACGATTATCTGAACCGGTCGTGGGCCTCCCCTAGGTCGACTCAGCCTCAAATCAGTACCTGGCGCGATGCGTAAACATTGCCACTGGGGAGATAAAGGTGGCCGGGCGTGGTGTTGGCCACTCACCCCCTCGTGTGCCGTGCCGACCTTTATAGGTGCTCGCTAACAGCACTTGCCCCAACAGTCTGTTAAGGCTATGCGGGGGATCTTTGTCCTTTTTGGTTTGTGAATGAGTAACTGGGTCGATGAGTGAATTTTTGGGTGAGTAAGTGAGTGTGTGGGTGGGTGGGTGAATGGGTGAGTGAGTGAATGTGTGGGTGAGTGAACTAATGCATTTCCTATTAACGGATCCATTGTCTCGTGACTGATGCATTGTTTGGTGACTGATGCATTCTGTGGTAGAAACATTAGAAATCGCTGACTCGAATGCACACAACAGTGAGATTGTAAATAAGTTTTGTTGTTGTGCTGGAACTGTTTGCGCCGAATACGGAACATAGAAAATAAATAATTAGCACGTGTGCAACAACAATTCCTCTTGATATTAATAGCAGTGGTTTTGACTTGTTTATTTGCTACGAAAACAGCATCCCGCCCCGACCGTTATCCACGTTGTACACGTTAACATGATGTTGACGTCCTCGCCTGGTATACAGGAGGTCGTGGGTTCTATTCCCGAACCCTTACGATGCCTGCTGATGAATATTTGGAGTTTGCATCTCTCTCCTTCTTTCTATGGAGATGTTGACTACCTCGCCTGGCATAACTGAGGTCGTGGGTCCGATTCCCGAACCCTTACGATGCCTGCTGATGAATATTTGGAGTTTGCATCTCTCTCCTTTATCCTATGGAGATGTTGACTACCTCGTCTGGTAGACAGGAGGTCGTGGGTCCGATTCCCGGGCCCTGCATCTCTGTCACTCCCCGTTGATAGTTTTAGTATGGGTGTCTAGGCCTCGGCAAGATAAGGTAATTTACCCTTCTTACCGGGTTAAAGCGTAAAGGTGTCGACATGCCAAGGGGCAAGGTAAAGGGTAGGGTAAAGGTAGCTCAGAAGAATTACCCGGTAGGGTAAAGGAAGCGCGAAGTATTACCCGGTAAATACGGTGCCTTGTTTACTGCTAAAAGCTCCGTCGCGCAGTCCGTGGCCTACATTTAATAAGTAATATTAAAACAAACTTTATTAAAAACACGCTTTTATGAAATGTACGAGTAATGGCAGAACTCCACGACTCCAGGAAGTGGCCCTGAAGCTTGCCATAACGTAAGGGACCGTGGCCAACTACAGCCAACGTCAGTTGAACGCTGATTTGCTTCCTCATGCGCAGATTCAGCACCCACCCACACAGCAACTGAGCGGTTAGTTGCTCTTTGGCACGCTCGGCGAAATGGGCTGCGAAATGTCGGCAGGAGCTACAATGTTGGTTTTCTTCGTCCTGACGGGGAATCTCGCAGGTGAGTGGACCCACATTATTACAATTAAGTGTAAATCTTTTTTTTCACATTTTATTTTACCCACCACTGTGCTGTGCGACTTCTTTTACATTTTGTAAACAAAGCTACCCGGCCATTTGCTGATAATCGCAGCTCAACGGAAGTAGATTATCATCATGCAGCTAAATACTGTCAAACTAAACCATTTTTATTTTACCAGGTAGGAACCCACTGAACTATGTAGCCTTATCTTCTTGGTTCTTTCGGTAAAGTCACGTAGAATGGAAATAATAAAATAATAATAATAAAAATAAAACATAATAAAATAATTCTCACGACGTTTCGTGAGAACTATTTTATTATGTTTTATTTTTATTATTTCCCTTCTACGTGACTTTACCGAAAGAACCAAGAAGATGAATTCCTGCAGTCACGAAAACTTTAAATCGAAACAGAAAATTCACTTATATCAAGTGAACACTTATAGCGGTATTCACATTCAAGGTCTTTGGGTTAGATCGCTTAAGTATAAATGTGTCGTGATCCTCTACCTCCCGACACAGCCAGTAAGGTTCGTCACGTAAACAACGCGCCAATTAGTTACTACTTTAGCCCACCGGTGTATTGGAGAGTGAATCTACAATTCTTAGGTTGTTTCGGTACCTACATGACTTTACCGAAAAAACCTAAGAATATGACTCCTTGCAGTCACGAAAGCTTCAAATCTAGAATGAATCCACAATATTTACAATTTGAGTAGTACGACGTTTCGCTGGTAATCACATCCAGCACCATAGGACGGTTTGCCAGAATAGTGAAGCCATCCACCTGCTTCTGGTCTTAAATAGAACAGGATGATGTCATCACTGAACCCATCAGTTGCAGACATCAGAGGTGGTTGCGGTCATTGTAATAATATGACAGATTAGTAATCAGTTAATGAGTATGTTTTTCCTCTGTACGGAATTGTAATACGTATGGCTTAATAACTGAACCAAATCAGGTGCAGAGATCAAAGGAGGAGGGAAGTTGAAGTTCATGTATTAGGTATAGCCCTGTGAGCCATTCGACTCTTGAATCGGGTGCAACCGCAACAAACAAAAAACATCTTAAAGTGAATATGTGACTAAGTGCAAACAGAAAATCCAAGAAAATACAGCAAAATATTGCAAAACAAACACCGTACACCAACGCTGTGTGCAAAAATCCCAGTGGTATGCAAGTCAAACAACAACAACCACAAGACAACTAAGATTAAGGCCATCAGTCTAACTCTGTACTACAACAAACAAACATGGCCAAACCAATACACTTTTCGAAATCACCAAAATAAAGCCATGAAAGTCAAACAACAACAACCACAAGACAACTTAGATTAAGGCCATCAGTCTAACTCTGTACTACAACAACACAAACATGGCTAAACCAATACACTTTTCGAAATCACCAAAATAAAGCCATGAAAGCAATAAAACAGTGATCATAGGAACTGTGACGGAATTTTCACAATAAATGGCATAAACAACGTGTACTACCAAAACCCTGCAGCCACAGCTGGCTGCATGAGTAACTCCACAACAGCAGGAGCATCAGTCGGAGTATTATAATGTTTCAATGCACCTTTAAGATCAGCACACTAAATCAAAACACAGGTCATACTTTGTAGCGATCATCCGGAGCGAAACATTGTATTTTAGGTCACTAAATTGCACTGGCAGCAAGGGGTGTACAACTCCTCTAGAGCAGTTTTGAGTGAAGATCTCATAGGTAGTGACTCAAGTTTCAATTTATTGGCAACATCATTCCAGAAGGGGTTATTGTAATTACATACTAGATTAGTAATCAGTTAATTAGTATGTGTTTCCTCTATGAGGAATTGTAGTTGTAAGATGTATTACTTGATGATACGCTTCCAGGCCGCACTAAGCCTGTAGCTGTCAGAGCGGTCAAAATAATTTTTATTTCTCTTCTTGGTTCTTTCGGTAAAGTCACGTAGAAGGGAAGTAATAAAATAATAAAAATAAAACATAATAAAATAATTCTCACGACGTTTCGGCCACAACGCAAGCAGCCGTCCTCAGGTGAAAACCAGGTCTGCTTGCGTTGTGGCTGAAACGTCGTGAGAATTATTTTATTACTTCCCTTCTACGTGACTTTACCGAAAGAACCAAGAAGATGAATCCCTGCAGTCACGAAAGCTTTAAATCGAAAGTTGTATTTCTGTCGATTTCAATGGATTCTCGAATTGGTCTCGGCCAGTAACAATTATTTTTACACAACACTTCAACATTTTCAAAATCAATTGAGTGTCCTTGTCGGCAAGCATGTTCTGCCACTGCCGACAGCTCTGTATGAGAGTATTTAATATTTCTGTGGTGTTCTTTTAGTCTTACGCTAATGACTTCCCGTCTGTCCAATATAGCATCTGCCACATAAGCAATCAAACCGATGCACACCTTCTGTTGATAATTTCGGTAATTCATCTTTAGTACAAGATACTATAATTGTTTTTTTACCCTTCTATCTGGCAACAAAACTGACACCTTTTTACAAGGAGTCATGTTTGCATAGACCGCAATACCTGCAGTCATAACACAAACAAAAGAACATAACTCTGATAATGTGCACTGTCCTTGAAGTTGATTGGTCCACACCCGAGACAGCTTTCCTTAGAGCCTAGTCTCACATGGGTTGAACCAGATGACGCCAAAAGGCGTCAATCAACTTCAAGGATAGTGCACATTATCAGAGTTATGTTCTTTTGTTTGTATTATGACTGCAGGTATTGCGGTCTATGCAAACATGACTCCTTGTAAAAAGGTGTCAGTTTTGTTGCCAGATAGAAGGGTAAAAAACCAATTATCATATTTTTACTGGCAAATGAGGTTCCCATAGTACAAGATACTAGTTTTTGAATTTAGATTTTTAGTTTTTCCAAAACTCGAGCTAATTTGTCAGTTACTCCCGCAATACATGGTACTTTAATTGTTTTAATAACCTGATTGCTTTCAGCAGTATTGCCCTTCGATCTTGGTTTGGCATTTAATGCTCTGTTAATTTTAACATTATTGTAGCCATTTAATCGTAGCGCTTTCGCATGATGAATCTCTCTCCTCAGACTTCCACCATCGGACACTGGTTTAGCCCGATGTATGAGCGTCTTGATGAGATAGGATTTCTGTGCGGGGTGATGATACGAATCCGCCTTCAAATAGGCATCAGTGTGCATTTCCTTTCGTTAAATGCTGTGTGTTATTTTACCATAAAGGCCGCGTCTGAGCAAAATATCCAGGAATGGGAGAGTGTTATTCACCTCGATTTCCATGGGGGATTGGATGGCCGGGTTTTGCGAATTGAGATGATTTAGAAATAATTGTTTTTTACCCTTCTATCTGGCAACAAAACTGACACCTTTTTACAAGGAGTCATGTTTGCATAGACCGCAATACCTGCAGTCATAACACAAACAAAAGAACATAACTCTGATAATGTGCACTGTCCTTGAAGTTGATTGGTCCACACCCGAGACAGCTTTCCTTAGAGCCTAGTCTCACATGGGTTGGACCAGATGACGCCAAAAGGCGTCAATCAACTTCAAGGATAGTGCACATTATCAGAGTTATGTTCTTTTGTTTGTATTATGACTGCAGGTATTGCGGTCTATGCAAACATGACTCCTTGTAAAAAGGTGTCAGTTTTGTTGCCAGATAGAAGGGTAAAAAACCAATTATCATATTTTTACTGGCAAATGAGGTTCCCATAGTACAAGATACTAGTTTTTGAATTTAGATTTTTAGTTGTTCCAAAACTCGAGCTAATTTGTCAGTTACTCCCGCGATACATGGTACTTTAATTGTTTTAATAACCTGATTGCTTTCAGCAGTATTGCCGTTCGATCTTGGTTTGGCATTTAATGCTCTGTTAATTTGAGCATTATTGTAGCCATTTAATCGTAGCGCTTCTTTCACATGTTTAAATTCTCTCCTCAGACTTTCACCATTGGTTTTATCCCGACGTATACGCGTCTTGATGAGATAGGATTTCTGTGCGGGGCGATGATACGAATTCGCCTTCAAATAGGCATCAGTGTGCATTTCCTTTCGTTAAATGCTATTTTACCATAAAGGCCGCGTCTGAGCAAAATATCCAGGAATGGGAGAGTGTTATTCACCTCGATTTCCATGGTGGACTGGATGGCCGGGTTTTGCGAATTGAGATGATTTAGAAATAATTGTTTTTTACCCTTCTTTCTATCTGGCAACAAAACTGACACCCTTTTACAAGGAGTCATGTTTGCATAGACCGCAATACCTGCAGTCATAATACAAACAAAAGACATGACTCTGATAATGTGCGGGATGAAACCCACGACCTGCTGTATACCAGGCGAGGTAGTTAACATCTCCCGTTTTTCGCTCAAACCGAACGCACGTTCGGCATTCCGGAGCTTCGGAAATTGCCATTTTGCTACTCTCCCATCTCCCGACGAATTCTCATCTTCCTCCATATATTTATACCTGGTTCAAAAAACAAAACGTAGTTCGAGTTTAGAACCAACATGCTGGCGAACTTTGGCAAAGTGTATCGGAAAGGAACGAGCAAAACCCCAAAAAAATCTACCACAACATTATCGTTGCCTCCATACTAGTTCCCCTTGTTTGTGGCAGGTTGTGCGAAGATTAGATGTGGTGGGTGGTGGCAGTGGGTGGATAGTGGTGTGGGGGTGGTGGTGGGGGCTGGTGGGTGGTGGTGGTGGGTTTGCAGTGGTCGGGGGGTAGGTGGGATGGGTGGTGGGTAGGTTTGGGGTGTTGTGTGGTAGTGGGATGGGTGGTGGTAGTGGGATGGGTGGTGGGTGGGTAGGTGGGGTGGTGGTGGGTAGGTGGGGTGGTGGTGGGTAGGTGGGTGGTGTGGGTGGTGGGTGGGTAGTGGTGGTGGGGTGTTGGGGGTTTGTGGTGGTAGATACGCTGCTGTTACGGTTAGGCATTGTGCTGTAACAATAACCACCAATGGTATGAATTGCA